TTTTTTTTTTTTTTTCAAGTAATGGACTTAAACAAAAGTGAACATTTGACTGAACCTAAAAGGACTAACAAACTATGTTAGTTTATAACACAGTCGATTAGCTAACAGTTAAACCACCACTTACAATAATTTATCTAGAATTATAAATTGAAATATGTATAATTTATCATTAAACATGAACTTATACTACAATTCAAATATCATATCGTTTACCTTAAAAATCCCTTATCGTCTGTCCCTTATTTTAATTGTTGGTTTCCTACTATTTTATCCCCATCGGACAAGCGACGGTTTCCTTGGGGCTTAGAATTTATTGACCGCCAATTACAGTATGAATTCGAAAGAAACATTTTCCTTCAAAGTATTAATTTATTCAAAGTTTTAACTCGTATTTCTTTAAAAATAAAAAGTAAATACAAATAGTCCACCACAATTTTCTTTATTTTCAAATTGAAATAAAATGGTCACAGTTTGATCATATCATTTATGTAAATTGATTATGGCTCAAGTCCAGTACCCACTGCAGTTTGGACCATAATGGCATGTTTCAGATTTTCCCCAATGTGGAGAAGGTGTTCACCCATCGAGATTCTTCGAATTCCAAATCGATCCACGAAACTCAGATGTTTGCACACGTCGATGTTTAATGTAACGCGCTTTTTTCCTCCTTTAGAGACGTGAACTTTCTCAAATGCTGCCAAATGCTTCTTCGAGCCGTTTCTGGAGGCAAAAATCATTATCGTTTCGTGCCCATCCATTTTCCCTTGGTTCTCTACATCAACTTGCACTTCAAAAGATAAAGACTCACAACGCGTTCTTGAAACTCTAATAGCTTTACTCGATAGGGTCGAATTCTTAGGAGCTTTCGAACTTATCAATGGGATGGAAATATTTGTCGTTATGTGAGCTATAGTGTGCTTGAAGCAAGTGTAACTTAGTCCATATCCAAACGAATACACAGTCGGGCCATAGTAAAATCTATATGTTCGGCCAGGATATTTCGTTTTCGGATCAGCATGCATGTTCATATTCGTCATGGACACGTTGCCGATGTATTCTTGAGGATACCATGTCATAGTCAATTTCCCTCCTGAAAATATATATAATAAATGTATTAATATGTCATGACAATTAATTAATTTTTTTCGACATTTTCTAAAAAATTTATAAAGAAACTACATACCTGGATTAAATTTTCCATATATAACATCCGCAATTGCCAGTCCTCCAGACTGACCCGGATACCCGACCCACAAAATCGCGCCAATTTTAGGGTTGTATTTGGCGAAGGAGATATCAACTGGGCCACCTGACATCAACACAAGTATAACGGGCTTTTTAGAAGCATCGGCCACTCTTGATATAAGTTCTTGTTGGTGGCCCGGCAGTAATACATCAACCCTGTCCAAGCCTTCACGTTCAATGTCTAGGCTGAGGCCCATAACTAGGATCGTGGCATCGGCTTTGCGAGCAGCTTGTTCAGCTTCTTCGAATTTCTGAGTATCGTTGCAACGCACATCTCCGCATCCCATTGCATGAATAATTTTATTCACATAACTTGATATGCCTTGTAAGGGACTAATGTAGGCACATGGAATTCCAGCATAATTGCCTATCATGGTTTGTGTGGCATTTGAGTTGGGCCCAATAAGAGTAACTGTATGATGGCCTTTAGTGGATAGTGGTAAAAGGTTTTGATTATTTTGCAACAGAACAATGCCCTGATGGGCTGCTTCGAGAGCCAACTGTTGATGGGCTTTTGTGCACACATCCTTTGGGCCCAAATCTTTGTATTTTGCTTCTGGACTATCAAACATACCCAAACGCATCTGGACAGTCAATAAATTGCCCAACGCATGATTAACATCGTTCTCCCTTAGTTTTCCAGCATTTATTGCTCCTTGTGTGTGGATCGCAAGGAAAGGCCCACAATCCAAGTCCAAACCTACATTTGAAAGTTTGTTACAAATATTAACTGATAATTTTAAACTAGTGAGAATCCCGTGCGATTCACGAGGATTTTGTAATGTCAAATATTTTTGCAAAACTTTATTTCAACAATGTATTAGCCCGTTGATCCGTCTATATTAATATAAATACATTTTAACATATATATGTATATATATATATATATATATATATTTTAATACAAAAAAAAGAAGAATTTTAACATATTTGGTTCATCATAATACTCAAATATTACTTTGTTCAAAATTTATTGACGTATAATGTCAATATTATTAAAACATTAATAGAAGTAACATTTCTTTTTAAAATAATGGTAAATAATGTATATTAATATTATTTATAGATGTGATTAATTTAGAAATATATAAGTAAATCTAATGTTTGTTAGAATGTGATAGATCTCAATATTTTAGGTACAAATATATGATAAATATGTATTATTATGTGATATGAATATCTTCAGATACCAAAAAAAAAAAAAA